GGAGTTCTCCCGTTCTCCTTGATCGGTAAACTTGGTCTTGGCTGGCTGTTCTTGCTGATATTCTGGGGGAGGGGCTTGTCACTGTGGTTCCCAAATGTCTTTGCCGGAGGCGAATTGCCCCGCCCTTGTCGGTGCAGGCTAAGCAATCTGCTCGGGTTTGCTCTCAGGAGCTTTTGTTCCCTGCAAGCTTTCCGTACGGCTTTGGAGGAGGAGATTGAAAATGGCGGCCTCCCAATCTCCGCCCTGGAGGAGCTGAGAACTTGGGGCCCCACTCCTCAGTGTGCCCTCCAGAGAAAAGCAGTCACTCCCGTGTCCCCGGTCTCTGGCCGCACTCCGTGCTCACCCGGCCTGTGACCGAGCGTTTTTATCTCTGGCGCACGACCCCGTGTGGAGTCTCCAAACCCAGCAGATCCCTGCGGTGCGTTCCCGCACCGCTCCTCCCAGGGGAGGAAGAGGAGTCTCCCCAGATCTACCGCTTGTTGGGTTGGGTCCCTGCTGTAGGAGCACTGGCCCAACTGTGCTGTGGATCATGGTTTATGGCAACCCCGAGCTGAGAGTCCACTCCTCGGCTCCGTCTCTGCAGCCGGCTTCCCCGCTCCAATACCTGGGAGCTCTGCCGCACTCAGGCACCCCTGGTCTTTCTGTGACCCCGAGAGTCCTGAGACCACACAGTCCCGCGAGGGTTCCACCCCCCACTTAGCCACTGGAGCGACGTCCCTCAGCAGAGCCAACTTCTAAAAGTTCCGATTTTGTGTTCCGCGTTTCTATCACTTGCCAGAAGCGGCAGATGGAGTCCCCTTCCCCTGCCGTCTGTCCTCCCGAATATCACCTCGGATTCACTTCTCCGCATGTCCTACCTTCCAGAAAGTGGTCGCTTTTCTGTTCAGAGAGTTGTTGCTATTCTTTTCTTTGATCTCCTGTTGAGTTCGTAGGTGTTCAGAATGGTTTGATCCCTATCTGGCTGAATTCCTGAGACCAGACGAAATCCAGGTCTCCTACTCCCCTGCCATTTTGCTCCGCCCCCAGCAAGAGAGTCTTAACACATGGTCAGGCTCACCAGGCTGAGACCAAAGATGCTTCAGCTTCTTGTGGTCAGGAATTTATTGTGATAATCTCGTGGGGTGGGAGCTATTTTTCCATTGGAGTTTTGTCCTAAGTGCCTCAATGAGACTTTAAGAAGTCAACTGTGCTTGTGTTTCAGAACAGCGTATGCTACTGGGAAGGAGCACACTGAAGCTTTTTTTGTATTCTTTCCTAGGAGTGCCCACGACTGTGCCATGAACTGTTTTCTCTTTCTTTCAGCCTCAAAAACTGGCTGAGTGAAGTGGTCCACCTGACGTGCTGCCGGATCTGTGTGCGAGCCCTCTCCGGTACCATTCATTATCATAACAAGTGAGTGTCTGCGGGCTTTCATCTGCCTTTCTATTCGTAAACCCAGCCTGCCACTGACAGCTGTGGGTGCAGGAAGCAGGTGAAGTCAGCATACTTCCAGTATGTTCATCCCTGCTGCTTAGAGTGTCACAGACATGATGGTTTTGCACAAAAATCTTTTAAAAAGCCATCCATTTGCTGAAAGAACCACATAATAATGTAATGACACTTAATAATCGGGCATTTCTGGTATGCAGGCGAGGCCTGTGCTTCTCCTAGGTCATCCCCCGGGACAGGCACTGTTGTCCTGCAGGCGAAGAGGGGGAGCTCTGGGACTGGTTGTCTAGTTCGTGGCAGAGTCAGGGTGTGAACTGGGTCTGTCGATGTAAAAAGTGATGCAGTTGACAGGCCTGTAGTGTGGGGGGATGGAGGGTGGGCCTTTAAGCCTTGAGACCTGCTTTCTAGTCTCAGTCCCGCCACTTCTGAAGTTCCATAACTGAGCCTTAAGACATAACACCACACTTGGCTTCCCTCTCCCCTAACCATAGAGGAGAATGGTAGCTAACTGAAGGTATTAGCTGACTGAAGTAATTTTGATTGCTTTTGAATTACTTTGCTCTTAACCCAATTTTATTTTTTTACATTTAATTTCATTGTTTCAAAGGTTCTAGAAAAGCCCCTCTTTTTTGTTGACTGGATCTTTCTATCTCATTTGTGGAAGGGAGACATTATCTCCTTTGGCTTTACCATGTGTTACTGACATAAAAGACCCCTTAAATTTCTAAAATTACATGTTTTTTTTCTTTGAGCTGTGAGTTTTTGGGATGAGGAGTAGAAGAAAATGCTTTGGTAGAACTGTGGTCAGAAGAGATACTATCTACAGAAAAGGTGATTTAATTACATAGAGAGTTCACAACTTATTATATATAGAATTGCTTCTAATTTTAAGGAAAGCATGCTAAAGTTGTTATGCATTTGGTTCTCTTTCTTCTCTGTATTGGGCCAATGAAGACTACTTTGCTTAATTAGTTGAATACTGGTTGAATTTTATGACAAGGGTCGGCAAACTAACATACGGGCCTAGAGGCCAAATGGGACCTGCCATCTGTTTTTTGTAAATAAAATTTTATTGGAACATAGCCATGCTCATTCATTTATATATTGTCTGTGACTACCTTTGTGCCAAAAAACAGCAGAGTCCAGTAGTTTTGACAGGGATTGGCTGGCTTGCAAAACCTAAAATATTTATTATCTGGTCCTCAATAGGAAGTTTGTCAACCTCTGCTTTAAGGGGATAGGAGGGAGGAAACTATAGTAAATTTACTCTGTGGGTCACTGTGAAACTACTAAAAATGATGCTTATGAAGCCTGAAATAATAGGAAAATACTTAAGATAAGTGAAACTTGCATATCACAATATTAAGGTTATGGAATCTTTGTAACTCAGTCTAATATTTTTTAAATTATCCTTTTTCATTATAAAAGGAAAATAGATCATTACAAAAAACCAATGTAAACATATATAAAGGGCAAGTCATCAGCCCCTTCCTATACTCTTATCCCACTCCCATCATACTGCCTGGAGATAACCTTTTTAAGATGGGACCATATACTTTGAAACTATTTTTTTTTTAATGTACTTTTTAAAGCAATATAAGATGAATCTATACATGCTGTTCTGCAAAATAAGGACAAATTTCCAGGTTTAGTATTTACCACTGTTTGTAATTGCAGGCAGTACAGACCCCAGAAGGGAGGAATTTGTGTTGCCAACCACACTTCCCCAATAGATGTTTTGATCTTGACCACGGATGGATGCTATGCTATGGTAAGAGCAGCACAGTGATAGTTCAAGTCATTGCATCTTTTGTGGATTGTTCAAACTTTTAACTTATTTTGGCACACATTAGAAAGTTTTATATTAGGAAGTGACTAGGTTATACTACTGTAGCGGTATAACTTATATAATACATTAAATGAACACTCCGTGGTGCAAGAAAAAGAAGGAAAGTAGCCATTATATCTAAGATAGTAAAAAATTCAGGGCACCTGGCTGGCTCAGTCAGTGGAGCATGTGACTCTTGATCTTGGGGTTGTGAGTTTGAACCCTACGTTGGGTGTAGGGATGACTTAAAAATTAAAAAAAACAAAAATCTTTAAAAGATAAAAATAAAGAAAAATAAAAAAATAAATACATAAAAAAATAAATAAATCAGTCTTTTAAAAAAAGGGAGTAAAAATTTTGACTTACTGAAATGTAGACATACTTGAGCTTGATAGGACTTTGCAAGGTTGATTCTATCTTGCTTCTAAAATCCCTGCAATGTTTAATAAATAACACTTTGAGACGTTAAAGTCTTCCTCCTTAGAGCTGTGCAAATCCCTTACCAGCCAATTAGTTGTGTCTTCCTTCAGGGAATCATATACAGTTGAAAAAAAATCAGACTTTTTAATGAAGATCAAGCAAGAAAGACAAATATATAGACCACGTTGCCTTTCTCAATCATTGAAGGGGTTTTGAAGGCCTTTGTAAAAACTCCCAATTTATTGCCAGATAGTTAATCCGTCTAAAATATAAGTTCAGATATATATCTCTTGGGCAACCACATTTTAATCCATTATTTTGTCTAGGTTGTGGAGCCCATTCTGAATCCAAGGAAGCTTTAACTACTTCTAGGAAAAGACTTACGGGATTTGGTAGTTCTTAACCTTTTTTAGGTTAGGAATCAGTTAATAGTTATGTACCCTTTCTTAAGAAAAACAGTGACATACGTGTGCATCATACAAGCATGATTTTGTTTAAAAGCCCACTCAAGGACCCTCCTGTTAACCATCCTTAGTAGGATTGTTACATACACCCAGCACCATTCTGGGTGTATGTAATAATTCCTTGCATTTATGTGGTCAAGCACTTCCACATACATTATATGTGACCTCCCCGTAATCCGGTGAGATTCGGGCTGATACTTTGTTACAGATAAGAAAGCAGAGGTTTGGGCATTTTAACCAACTTGCCAAATTACGATTTTCTGTTTCTGGGACCGTATTCATTCTGTGTCCTGGTCAACAAAAAGTTGAATACAACTCATTGGTGACTGAGTCCAGATATTTTCTAAGTCATAGACAAATTGTAATAATAAACATCCATATGCCCTTTAATCACATCTACCTGTTGGTAGCATTTTGCTCCATTTGCTTTATCGTTTGCATTCTCATGTGCTGGCTTTCTCTCTGTCTCTCTACATAAAATGTGTGTAAATTATGTATATTTTTAATGATATTGAGTATTTCTAATATTAATATAATATTGGGAATTTGGGTCTGTACCAATTCATGCAATTCATAGGGTTCTTTCTTGCTTTTCCCAATCCGTATTTGTATCTCCCTTTATTTATAGTGAATACCCTGGCTCCCAACCATATCAACATATTTACCTATTTTTTCAATCCTATGATACATCTAAAATTGTTTCAGAATTGCTTCACCTGTTTTACTACAAAAACGAATGTTGTAAAAAAAAAAGAAAAGAAAAATCCAGAGTATTTTACAGTTCTCCTTGAGGAGAGATGGAGGGTGTGTGGTCAAATACCATCTTTACATGTCTAAATTTTTTTTCCCCTTCCTTCAGTTTGCGTTTGGTTTGCTAGTCCCATCCTTGTTGATTTGTCAAAACTAAACAATAAAGGTCTACAGTGTCATTTCCGCCCATGTCCATTTTGCCCCATTCCCTCCCCCCTTGTAGATCTCCAACTTCACTGCTTTGGATTTTTTCTCTTTTTGTAGAAACAAATATATGTATATATTTCCCTTTCTATTTTACACAAAGGGCAGCATGCTCTATTTCTCTTTGGCAGTTTGCTTCTTTCACTTAGCAATATTGCCAGAGTGGTGAGCATAGCATGATGTACACAGGTCTTCAGTTCAGTCGCCGTGTTGTACGCCTGAAACTAGGGTAACATTGTATGTCAGCCATACTCAAATAAAAAAAACATTAAAACCCCAACTGAAAAAAAACCCAACCCAGTAACTCTGGGAAATCACTCCTGATCAGTCGTAGAGATCAACCTTGCTCCTTTCCCAGCTGCATGGCCCTCTGTTGTGTGTATGTAGCATCGTTTATTCATCTGATTTCTTATGTTTAGCATTTAGATGGTTTCTAATATCTTGAAATTACAAATAATGTTACAGTTAAAACCTTGTGCATATGTATTTTCATTTCATTGGAGATGTATCTTCAGGGTAAATTCCCAGAAGTGGAATTATTGAGCTGAAGGATAAATGTGTATGTAGTTATGTAGTTTCGATAGATACTGCCAAATTTCCTTCTATGGGTTTATAATCTCCCCCATCCCAAGCCATGTATAAGTGCCGATTTCTTTCTTTCTTTCTTTCTCTTTCTTTTGTTCGTTCTTTCTTTCTTTTTCTTTCTTTTCTTTTTCTTTCTTTTTCTTTCTTTTCTTTTTCTTTCTTTCTCTTTCTTTCTTTTCTTTTTCTTTCTTTCTTTTTCTTTCTTTTTCTTTCTTTCTTTCTTCTTTTCTTTTTCTTTCTTTCTTTCTTTTTCTTTCTTTTGTTCGTTCTTTCTTCTTTCTTTTTCTTTCTTTTCTTTTTTCTTTCTTTCTTTCTTTTTCTTTCTTTTTCTTTCTTTTCTTTTCCTTTCTTTCTTCTTTTCTTTTTCTTTCTTTCTTTTCTCTTTCTTTTTCTTTCTTTTCTTTTCTTTCTTTTTCTTTCTTTTCTTTCTTTCTTCTTTCTTTCTTTCTTTCTTTTTCTTTCTTTCTTTCTTTCTTTTCTTTCTTTCTTTCTTTCTTCTCTCTCCCTTCCTTCCTTCCTTCCTTCCTTCCTTTCTTTCAAGAGTGCCAGCAGGGCGGGGTGGGGGGTGGCCAGGCAGAGGGAGAGGGGAGAGATAATCTTAAGCAGGCTCTACACCCAGCTTGATCTCAAGACCCTGAGAAAATGACCTGAGCTGAAATCAAGAGTCGGACGCTTACCCTTCTGAGCCACCCAGCTGCCCCTGAGTGCCATTTTCCATAGCCTTGGCTTAGAGTGCATTGTTAAGCTTTTAAGTCCTTTTCAGTCTAATGAGTGAGAAATGGTATTTCAGTGTAGTTTTAACTTGCATTTATCTTATCTTGACTAGGTCAAGAGACTTCTACTTTTTTTTTAAAGATTTTATTTATTTATTTGAGAGTGAGAGAGAGAGAGAGAGCACATGAGAGGGGGGAGGGTCAGAGGGAGAAGCAGGCTCCCTGCTGAGTTAGGGAGCCCGATGCAGGACTCGATCCCAGGACTCCAGGATCATGACCTGAGCTGAAGGCAGTCGCTTAATCAACTGAGCCACCCAGGCGCCCAAGAGACTTCTACTTTTTTAAAGCTAGAGTATAACTAGTGTAGCAACATTTTAAGCTTAAAATTCAAAGGTGCTATTAAAGAATACCTTTTGCTTATATTTGGCCATTCATGTCCTTTGATTAGACTAAGAACTTCAGTCAGTAGAAGAAAGCCAATCTTTTCTCTTGGTGGGGAATAGGAACTTACTGGTACTTAAAAAAAAAAAGCTCTCTTTGCCTCGCTGTGCCTTTACATGTTTCTTTTTTTTTTCTCATGGTACTTTAGGTTGGCCAGGTCCATGGTGGATTGATGGGAATTATTCAGAGAGCTATGGTCAAGGCTTGTCCACATGTCTGGTTTGAACGCTCAGAAATGAAGGATCGACACTTGGTCACTAAGAGGTAAGCAGTGACATTACTCTGTATCCTTTGGGGTAGCATAAATTCTGATAAATCTTGACCTTCCTGCCAAAGAGGACAGGGCAGTACTAAGGATTAAACCTAAAATATATGGAGCTTTATTTGTGGTTAGCTTTTTCTGCTGAATCACCTGTCTTAGCTACATTCTTAAAAATTTTAAGTCTGTAGTCATAGTGGGAAATATGAGATTAGAAGGCCCATACGTTTGTATTGCTGTGGCTTAGGTATAGTCCAGGCACTGAGTTTTCAGAACTAAGACTTACTACCTTGAAAGTTAAATAATTGGTAACTGTTTGCTGAGTAAAGAGATGGCTGATTGTTTGCTGGATGTCCGTTATCACTTAAGTCCATTTAGAGACAGAGAGAGCTAATGCTCTTTATGAAACAAGGAACCTCTAGGGCTTGGGATAGAGATGAGCTACCAGAAGCCTTTCTTGGGAAACAGCTTTTTGCCTGAAGCCTTTAACCGAAGGCCCTTGGGTTATTGCTTCTAGAAACATGAAGGCGAGCTATGCTTTTTTTTTTTTTTTTAAGATTTTATTTATTTATCTGAGAGAGAGAGAGCACAGAGGGAGAGTGAGAGGGAGAAGCAGGCTTCCTGCCAAGCAAGGAGCCCAATGCAGGGCTTGATCCCAGGACCCTGGGATCACGACCTGAGCCGAAGGCAGACGCTTAACCCACTAAGCCACCCGGGCGCCCCTGAAAAAAAAAAAAAGAATAAAATGAAAAGTACTTGTTGAAATCTGTTTAAGGTCAGTAAAACTATTCTGCAGTTGGAGATGATTTAGCGTCGGGATACTGGCAGCCATACCGTCTCTATCTGAGCCTTCCCAGCTTCTGGTGAGCAGTTGGAAATACAGGGCTGGCTGCAGGGAAGGCAGGACCTAAGCCGCGTTCTCAGCTTTATGGTGTCTGTGTCACAGGAAAGCTGAGCCCTACTCATTTAAAGAGTTTCTTTATACTTTTTTTTTTTAATAATTTTTTATTGTTATGTTAACCACCATACATTATATCATTAGTTTTTGAAGAGTTTCTTTATACTTAATGGCTACGAAGCAGACTGGTCCAGCCATCAGTATACCCATTTTTCAGATGACAAAATATAAGTACATGGAAAAGGGCACAAACCTCCTGACGTGGCGGCGTCAGAGCACATGACACATGACTACCTCGCATTCTTTTTTAAGAGTAGGCAGAAAGCACTGAAGATCGCTCACTGTGAAAGGAGAGAAATTGAAATAGTACAGATGACCTTATGTTGTTTAGAAAGGGGCCAACTTGAGTTGATTTCCTTTACTTACGTCTTATTTTTTCCCTCCTTCTTGCTATATAATTATATTTGTGCTAGTAGAGTGTAAAGAAGACCAAAAAGGACTCACACCTCTACCTTTATAAAGGTAGCATTTTGATCCTTTATTTTTCTTCACAGACTAAAAGAACACATTGCTGATAAGAAAAAACTACCCATATTAATCTTTCCTGAAGGTAAGAAAGAGTGACTGCATACCGAGCCTTAGTTGATAACAACAAGCGTGAAAAGTGTATGAGGACTTGGATTATTCTAGAATTGGCATTCTTAGTCCAGATCTCTGCTGTCCCATAGGAATGAGCTGCCCTTTTCTGAGCTAGTAATCCCTTGCTTTCTTCTGACATTTGATGGAAGTCATGGTGTTTTGTTTTTGTTTTTGTTTTTTGTTTTTGGAAGTCATCGTGCCTTTTTGATCTTAAAAGTCATTTCTGGGTAATGAACTTGGATAGGTATTGTTCATAATTTTTCAAAGGTCCTTATTTTATTTTATTTTTTAATCTTTTAAAGATTTTATTTATTTATTTGAGAGAGAGAGACAGAGATAGTGAGAGAGCACAAACAGAGAGGAGAGGGAGAAGCAGACTCCCCACTGAGCAGGAAGCCTGTTGCGGGACTTGATCCCAGGACCCTGGGATCATGACCTGAGCCGAAGGCAGACGATTAACTGACTGAGCCACCCAGGGGCCCCTCAAAGGTCTTTATTTTAAAGTATTGAAAATTGTCACCTGTTATGCTGAAGTTGTATCTCTAGAGCATTCAATAACAAAGTAAAAGTTTATTAAACTTGCTTAGAGCTGTTGAATTACTTACTTAAGCAGGGATTGATCTATTTCACGAAATGATAGTAAACTATAATTTTGCTATGATTTGAATATTTTAGATTATTTTATATCAAAATAATTCCTTTTTAAAATTTATTTTAAAAAAGACCACCTTTTAAAAATATTCACCACCTCCTTTCCACCCCTTTGCAGGGACTTGCATCAATAACACTTCAGTCATGATGTTTAAAAAGGGAAGCTTTGAAATTGGAGGAACCATACATCCAGTTGCAATTAAGGTAAAATAGATGCCGCTCCCTGGCCCCCCAAAAAGGGCAGTGACTTGGTAACTTTATTTTCATATAACTTCAACCTTAAAATCTGTAAGAATAACAAGCACTTGTATACCTTTCCCCCTGCCCCAGCTTTATTGAAATATAGTTGACATATAACATCATGTAAATTCAAAGTACACCATATGTTGACTTGATATACTTACATATTGCAAAACGATTGCCACCATAGTTTTAGCAAACACCTCCATCAAATCACATAATTACTATTTCTTTTTTACGGTGAGAACGTTTAAGGTCTATTCTCTTAGCAACTTTCGAGTATATAATACAGTATTACGAACTATAGTCACCACGCTGTGCATTAGGTCCCCAGAACTTACTTGTCTTAGAACTGAAAGTTTGTAGTCTTTGACCAACATCTCCCCGATTCCTCCACTTTGTCCTCTCTCCTCAGCCCCTGGTAACCACCCTCCTAGTCTCTGTTTCTGTCAGTTCAGCTTTTTAGATTCCACATATAAATGATACTATAGAGTACTTCTCTTTCTCTGTCTGACTTACGTGTCTTAGCATAATGCTTTCAGGGTCCATCTGTGTTGTCACAAATGTCAGGATTTCCTTCTTTCTCATGGCTAAATAATATTCCACTATATATACACACACACACACACACACACACACACACCACATCTCCTTTATCTATTCATCTGTTGACAGGCACTTAGGTTGTTTCCAGATCTTGGTTCTTGTGAATAATACGCTGCAATGAACATGGGGATGCAGATATCTCTTCAAGATCTTGTTTTCATTTCCATTGGTTATATGCCCCAAAGCGGGATTGCTGGTTCATATGGTAGTCCCATTTTTGATTTTTTGAGGACTCTCTCATATTGTTTTCTATAGTGGCTGTGTTGATTTACACCCTTAGCAGGGCTCCCTTTTCTCTACATCTGTTTTTGTTTTTTTTTTTTAAGATTTTTAAGGACAGAGAGAGAGAGAGAGAGCACAAACAGGGAAAGCAGGAGAGGGAGAAGCAGGCTCCCTGCTGGGCAGGGAGCCCCAAGTGGGGCTCGATCCCAGGACCCTGGAATTATAACCTGAGCTGAAGGCAGTTGCTTAACTGACTGAGCTACCCAGGCGTCCCTGTTTTTTCTTTTTTCAAATCTGTTTTATATACTGGAATTCTGCATTAGATGTAATTTGAAGAAAATGATTTGTAATTTGCTGCTAAGCCAAAATGTTTAGAAACCACAACTTTAGTTAAACTTTCTCAGTTTGTAAACTGAGTCTCAGAGATGTTATGTAATTTGCCTCACAGTTGTACAGTTAGTTGGTGGAAAAATTGTGATGTCATTATATTAGAGATATTTAGCCAACCATCGTATTCTGAAGACCTCTTGTGTGTAAGGTCTTCCTCAAGGCATTTGTGTACTCGTTACTCAGATTCACCAACTGTTTACATTTTGCCCTGTTTGCTTGATAGGTACCAGGGGATTGAGTGCCAGGCATTGTGTTAAGTACCGAAGACAAAACAGTAATAAGCAAAACAGTTACCATGCCTACTTTCACCCACCTTCAGTTAAGTGGGGAGACAGATCTTTCAGACTCAGGTGGATAACCCTCATTTTGCAACACTCTGGGGCTCAGGTCAGAGGAGTTAGCTGGCCCGGTTTACTTCTTTGATCATTTCTATCAAGCCAAGTAGCTTCTCTTTCTCTTGGGGTCTGATAGAGATGTTTGGCTTGTCACCTTGGAAACACTGACATGGATAAGAAAGGTCACCACTTCGTTCACACGTTCGTCAATGTGTTTTCTTTTCTTTTCTTTTTTCTTAGTACAACCCTCAGTTTGGGGATGCATTTTGGAACAGTAGTAAATACAACATGGTGAGCTACCTGCTTCGTATGATGACCAGCTGGGCCATCGTCTGTGATGTGTGGTACATGCCCCCGATGACCAGAGAGGTATCTATCCATAGATAACAACTGGTCTTTGGTGCTTTATTCAGTCAGATCAAGGCGAGAAAACTTTTACCTGAAATCCTGGGTGCCTCCTTTCTTCACATTAGCTAGAGCTGAACTTCCTTTGTGCCTTCTCAGCAAATGGGTGATTTAAAAAAAAAAACGTGGGGCGCCTCGGTGGCTCAGATGGTTAAGTGTCTGCCTTCGGCTCAGGTCATAATCTCCAGGTTCTGGGATCGAGCCCCGCATCGGGCTCCCTGCTCAGTGGGGAGTCTACTTCTGCCTCTTCTTCTCCCACTGCTCCTGCTCTCTCGCTCTGTATCTCTCTGTCTGAAATGAATTTACAAAAATAAATAAATAAATAAATGTATTTAACTTTCTTCAAATCAGGCTATTTTATATTCAGAGACTCTTTTCCATAATAGTTTTTATAGTTGCTATTGGCTTAGTGAACCTACAGATATTATGGAATGATATATATTGGATAAGACTAATAAAGACCATAATAAATGTATATACATGATACAAAATTAAACAATACAGTACTTAATTTTCTTGATAGAACAAATGATATTTGCTATGATTGAGAATAGAACTGAGCTAAAATGTGACTCTTACTCCTTTTTTAAAGAGACAGAGAGAAAGAGCTCGAGAACATGCGCATGTTGGGGAGCGGGGCAGAGGGAGAAAGAATCTTAAGCAGGCGTCATGCCCAGTGTGGAGCCTGATGTGCGGCTGGATTCCACAACCCTGAGATCATGACCCCAGCCGAAATCAAGAGTCGGACGCTTAACCAACTGAGCCACCCAGGCGCCCCTGAATCTTACATTTTCAAACAAATCTAGAGACTATGATATATTTATTTTAAGAATTATTTGAAAACTCTATTCCCAGGATGTGCATAATTTTCTTTTCCCCAGGAAGGAGAAGACGCCGTCCAGTTTGCTAACAGGGTTAAGTCTGCCATTGCTGTGCAAGGAGGATTGACTGAGCTTCCCTGGTAAGACCTTTTTCAGAGGTACTATCATTTTTTTTTTTTTAATTAAAAAATCACTTTTAATAATGTCATTGGTTGTGCTGGTTAGCCAGAGGTTTAGCTGAAAGGGACAGTGGTTTACATGAGAGGACAATGGCTTAAAGAAGGTAGAAGTTTACCCCTCTTGCTTAAACATGGCCAGTGAAGGCTGGTGTAACAGGTCATTCTATGATATCCCATCCTCAGTGTGCTTCCATGACAGGGTCCAGGATGCCTACTTCAGTGCTACTCCACAGCATTGAGAATGGCCGGCAGGAAAGAATGAAAACAGGGATGTGCCCGTCTCTTTACGAGCACGGGATGGACACTTCCACCTCTGCCCATTGGCTAGACCTCAAGTTATGTGATAAGAGCTGCAAAGAAGGCTGGCGAATGCCGTCTTTGTTCTGGAAGGCCATATATCTAGCTAAAACTGAAGGTTCTTTTACTGAAGAAGAAAGTGAGAATGGATTTGGGGGTGGGGAATGGACCCTGGGAGCAAGGGTCGTGTTCATACTTAATGTTAGCTGTAACTCTATTGAAGAAAACTTAAAAACTTGAAAGGAAATAAGTGAAATGTTTTCATTATGGAAACTCTGGATTTAATTTTTTGTTTGTTTGAGGAAGGTTGCACGTAGGTGAGTGTATTAGTCTGCTCGGCCTGCCATAACAAATTACCACAGACTGGGTGGCTTAAACAACAGAAATGTATTTTCTCACAGTTCTGAAGGCTGGAGGTCTGAGATCAGGGTGCCAGCAAGGTCGGTTTCTGGTCAGAGCTCTCTCTCCCTTTCAGCTGGCAAATGGCCACCTTTTTGCCTTTGTGTGAATATAGGGAGAGAGGAAGAGAGAAGAGAGCATCCTCACAGGTTTCTCTTCTTATAGGGGCACTAATCCTACCTTGAGGATTAGTTCCTCATCTAAACCTAATTATTTCCCAAAGGTCCCATTTCCAAATACCACTATATTGGGGGGTTAGGTCTTCAATATATGAATTTGTGGGGTGGTGCATAAACATTTAGTCTGTATCAGTGAGAGTTAACTATATCTACATTATAATGGGAGATTAATCATACTTCAAATCTTGTAAGTTTAATAAAGTCCCCCTGTATCTTTTTTTGGTGTTTTGAAAACACTTTGCATGAAAAGTTCACTAGAGGCAATTATAGTAATGCTCTAGGAGCAAGATTTGGCTGAGTCAGGCTGTCAGCCTGTTCAACCAAGAACTTGTGAACCTCCAGTGGGACTCCGGACTGCTCAGGAATTAAGCCTCTGGAATAAGAGCTAACTGGATTCTTACACTCCTTTATGCAGGGGTGGGGAATGTCTCTAGAATATTTTATCCATTCATATATCTTGAGTACAACCAGTTTCACCCAAGAAACTTGTTTCTGGCATCTGTTATGCTAATTAGGAAGCTACTAATTTCTATAGTGAAAACCCATTTCTAAAATTCCTTATGTGAATTAACAAGGTTTGGGAAGTTGTTGGAAGACAAAAGACAACTGAAGCTTTAGAGTGGCACCTTTGGAGGGTGGTCTTCTAATTCAATGCCTGGCTGACCATTCCCGGAGTATGAGTCCTTGATTTAGGGCTACTTGACTGGCCCTAACGTCAGGATTAGGGGCAAAATAGGTTAAAACTAACATTTGTATCACACTACCCAAGCTGGAATATGTGAAACTAAGTTATAGACATCATAGCATCATCAAATGACAGGCTTACACAGGTCCTAGTTTATAAATGCCCTAGTGATCCAAGTTCACTCTGGATCTGGCTTCCCTTTTTTGCTTGTTTTCATTTCTTTTTTTTTTTTTTTAAGATTTTATTTATTTATTTGAGAGAGAAAGAATGAGAGATAGAGAGCACGAGAGGGAAGAGGGTCAGAGGGAGAAGCAGACTCCCTGCTGAGCAGGGAGCCCGATGTGGGACTCGATCCCGGGACTCCAGGATCATGACCTGAGCCGAAGGCAGTCGCTTAACCAACTGAGCCACCCAGGCGCCCTGTTTTCATTTCTTTACCCTGCTTTCTCTCTCTCACCTGACTTCTCAGCCCTGCTCCTGCCCCAAAGCCATATGAAAATCTTGGAATTTTGGATCAGTAGTTTCATAAACCAAAGAAAGGAAGAAATCCTTGAAAGATAACAGCCTACCCAAGTCAACCACAGGACAGATCTCAATCAGATTGACTTAAGCAAAATCTATCAGAAATGATCTTTAGTGGGTACCTGGGTGGCTCAGTGGGTTAAACATCTGCCTTGAGCTCAGGTCATGATCTCAGGGTCCTGGGATGGAGCCCCATGTCGGGCTCCTTGCTCAGCAGGGAGTCTGCTTCTCCCTTTCCCTCTGCCCACCACCCCTCACCCCCGCTTGTGCTCGCTCTCTCTCAAATAAATAAATAAAATCTTTAAAAAAGAAAATCTTAAAAAAAAAACAAAACAATCCTCAGAATTTTTCAATTCCCTTATATCAGGCCATATGCAATTTTGTTATAAAAGATTACTTTTAATTACCTAGCCTCTTCTTTAGGAAAAAAAAAAAGACTCACTGCTTTCCAGATGTATCTGTCATTCACACATTGGGTATCAATGAACCTGTCTACATTGTTTTTTTCCTAGATTAAATGGGAACTTGATTGTATCATCTCAAACAGGCTTTTATATATGGCTGCTGGCCTCCTTAGGAACTCAGATCTGCTGCCATCGCAAAGGGGAATTGGGTAAAACTTCAAAGTCTCTAGAGGGGGCACGTCACAGTTGGAGTACTCAGAACACTGTTAGTTTTCTGAGTGCTTAGGAGAGTTGCATCAAAATAATGTCAGGATGCTCAGGGGCAAACGTTGCTAACTTTTTTGTCAGTTTTGGCCTGGACCTTAGGAAAGAAAGAATGGCCTTTCCTCTACCTATCCCTCCCCCACTTAATTCTTACTATTCAGAATTCACATAAATGCTGTGAATAGTTAGAGGCGGCTCCTTTGGATAAAAGAGGCTTTTGGGGACAATTCTGGGGAACTAACAACAATTTATAACCTTGTTTTATGGAAATTTCCTACAGCTGAGCCCCTGGAAGATGTGTGGACTGTAGTCTATTTTAAGTTGAGGACTTACTGGTGGGCTGTGTCTTGGATTTGACTCTAGAGGCCAGAACATTGCAGTGGTTCAGGCAGGCATTTGTTTGTAGGTCAAGTTCTGTCTTCATGTCATTGAGTTCATGGGCTAACCTATGATCCATTCATCATCATCAGAGGGCACTTGGTAAACGTTTGTGCATAACTGGGTTAAAATTAAACAGTATGAAGTAAGCAAGTTCACCATCCATGGTCTCCTAGGAGTTCAAAATAAAAAATGTTAGATTAGGAGAGAAATCGTGGCCCCTTATAGTCCAGTCTCCTCCCAGAGCTTCAAATTTGTTGTTTCTTTGTGTTGTCCAAAGAAGGAAAGGCATGCAGAGTCCTTATAACCCAGGCAGCTCTGTGTTTTCACCATCCTGGACAGAGTTCAAAGATTCACAGGCTCTGAATTAAGGAACGCTGCTTACATAGGCACTAACCACTGCTTAATTAAATGCAATTTATGATTTTGTTGTTTGTTTTTATTCTGAGTCTGTTTTGGAATATGGAAGATTACAAATACTTGAAATATATAGTGCTTTGAATGAAAATACAACTTGGTAGACATAGGATTAGATTTGAATAATGATTAGCCCATTTATCTTTAAGTAATTTACTCATACATATACAGTACCCTCACCATTACTTGTGTGTATATTTTAAATGTCCCGGATGATTTTCTAGTAAGACATAGGTTGGTTAGATGAAAGGAAACAATACTTTGCTTTTCTTGGGGAAAAGGATAGGCAAACAATCCTAGTTTTAATATAAATTCCAAATATTTGAATATAGCAACCTAACTTCTAAAAAGAAACTGAGTGGAGATATTATTCTATATTTTATTTCTTTAACTTATTATTATTATTATTATTATTTTTGAGAGAGAGAGAGAGAACAGGAGTGCGAGCCAGGGGGCGGGGGTAGGGGCAGAGGGAGAGAGAGAATCTCAAGCAGACTCCATGCCCAGCACAGAGCCTGACTCGGGGTTTGATCTCACGACTCAGATCATGACCTGAGCCGAAATCAAGAGTCGGTTGCTTAACCAACCGAGCCACCCAGGTGCCCCTGATGTTTTTTATTTTATATTTTAATCAAGCCTCAGAGAGACTGTTCCTTCCCCAAAGTAATACACCTGTGGTGACGGGTAGAACAGACGCTGAAATCTTGGTCTTTCTGCTTTTCAATCCCATGTTCTTTGCCCCATTGCTGACCAGCCAGCCACTTAAGTGTCGTGGCACAACCGTGTGTTAGCAGCTAATGCTTTTAACTCATCATTGGGAGTATCTTTTATTTATTTGCCTTTTTATTCCCAGGGATGGAGGGCTGAAGAGAGCAAAGGTGAAGGACACCTTCAAGGAAGAGCAGCAGAAGAATTACAGCAAGATGATTGTGGGCAATGGATCTCTTTGAATTGGACTGAATCCTACCCTGGTGATAAAACCTGGCTTCTCACAACCAGCCCCTAGAAATGGAATGTGTTGGGTTTTTTTGGCGAGGGAGTAGAGTATTGTTTTGTTTTACTGGTTTTGTTTCTTGTTGTTGTTAATCTTTTCTACAGGATGGATCGTCTCTACCTCTTTATGCCAGAGGCAGAACCCATTGGGGGCCCTTTTCAGCTTTTGTTATTGTTATAGCTTAACTTCATGAACTGTAAGGTAGGTTTACTGAGTTTAAACAGATCCTGCCTTTTGTAAAATGATGATGTCATCGTTGATTGAACGAAATACTTGTGCAGGAAAAAGTGCTTCTAAAACACTTTTGGAATTCACTGTGTTTCGAACTCGTTGATATGGTAATTCTCAAAAAAAATCCCCCAAGCTCTTTTCATGATTAATTTTCTCACTCCTTCTCCCCTCACCTCCCTCTTCAATCACTTAAACAGCGAGATTACACATCAGTTCAAGGTTACCTCCACGGTTACCTTCTACTGCAAGATCGAAAAGAAAAATGGAGGACGTTTTTTAGGAGAAAGGACAAATTTGTGGCCACTTGATCTGAAAGTTGAAAGCAAATGTAAATATTTTTGTTTTTACTGGTGTGTTAGAAGAGAACTACTATTTGGTAAGCTGTACCAAAGAGGTTACTGTGTGTGTGCATTTATAGGTAGGCGAATTTTGAATAAACACTTTTTAGCTGGCAGCTGGTGATAAAGTTTTAAGTCCTCCTTGTTTGTACGCTAAGGATCTATATCTAGTGCCTCTCCCATCTACTGATTTGGTTTTGTGCCGAAACATATTTTCAAACAGGAGGAGCCTTTAACAACAACAAATCACGTTGTCTTCAGCAGGAGTATGAATGAGCCAGGTGTGTGTGCTGCCCCTCACCCTCCACCCCTTTGAGGTTTATTTCAGAATGTTCCCAGTTTCTTAAACAGAAAAATAAGTGGTAAAATTACTTTTTGGAAACTGAGCCTTAAATTTTTTAAAGGGGAAAATAAGTGTTTCCCAACTCACACAGCATAAGCAATGTTTGATAGCAATATAATGCCATGTTAAACTCTGAGAGTGTTACATCTCTTCTGGTAACCATGTACAAAATGTGAAACTGTCTTACAGTGAATATAAATAAATTCTATATTTCTAAGTGTGTGTTGCATTGTTTTCCCTCTCCTCTACCCTCTTCTGGTTTGGGGTAAGTTAAATTCTTTCTTACCCTGAACAAGGATTGTTTGTTTTTCATATCAATGACATAGCTAGATTTTATTGGACTGGAACGTCTGGGAAATGAGAACATGAACAGCTAGTTTTGGTTTGTTTTTTCTTTTTTTTTAAACCTAGTTATCTGGACTTTGACCCTGTGAACTCTGCCTTGAGCAAGTCATAGACATCACTTAATTTGTAGGTGAACTCAGGCAACTCTCTTTTAATTGACTATAGGTATGTCCAGCATAGCCCTATCAGTTATATTCTGTTGGAACCAGATGGGTTTGATCCCAAAGGAACGTTTGTAAACAGGTTACCCTAATGGTCAGCTATTCTTCTTACGCTCCCCCCATTCTTTTTCCCTTTGTTCTTACCCTTTGATCTTTTTTTTTTTAAAGATTTTGTTTTTAAGTAATTTCTACACCCAATGGGGGCCGAACCCACCACCGTGAGATCAAGAGTTGCATGCTCTACTGATTGAGGCCACCAGGGGCCCTGATTCTTCCCTTTGATCTTGACTGAAAATCAGCAAATTCAAATATGTATGTTGGGGTGACTCTTTGTCTTGTTTTTTTTCTCAGAGAGTTCCTTTTTCCCTTTAACTTTTCATATTCAATATAACTTGAGTTAATAAAGCCACTTTATTAATTAGCCCCGTTCTTGGAAAAGCTGATAGGACAACTAATGGCTCTTTGTTTGGACACCAATAAGAATTATCTTTCCAACAGCACTGTTAAGCAATTATGCTATCACAAAGTCATTAGAAAATCTAATGCTATCTCAATAAGAACTTTTGTAGGTCTTTAACTTATACAACTAGTTTTCAAGTTGTTTGGGGAATTGCCTTGCCTCCGCAGACATGTTCTTAGAAAGCAAATATTGCTCAGATTTAGCATATGCTCCCTAGAAATCCTGTTTTTGCATTTGTCTTCCCTAATATTATTTTATACCTACTTTAGAAATACTCTACCCAGAGTTTAGTCTTCTAAACTTCTGAGTCGTCTGTAGTTATAACGGGATATCAAGGGTAGGCAGAATTTGGTAGAAAAATCACATGAGAATAAGATCTTTCATCTAACCCTTGCATATTCATTCATTGAGCCTCAAGTTTGCCTTTTTAAATTCCAACTCTGTCCTGGTCATATTTACAGACACAGGGTTCTAGGAATGCCAAGATTTTCTGAAATATCCTGGATTGGATGAGCAACCATGGTAGGAAACAGTAAATATACTCAAAGCATGGGAAATGGTCCCAGATCATAGTCTGGCGCAAAGAACAGTTGTGAGGGAAGTTTTCCTGGATAAGCAGACTTTCCGAGGCATATTCAGCTTTGTGCTGGTGGTTTGCCATCATCCCTTCCGTGCATATGTTGCACTTGGGGCATTCTATTGATAACTCAAGGGTTCTTCATTTCTTGTGACAATAGATAATGTTCTGTGGTCATGAGGACTGCCTTTTGGCCAGAGTTGCTCTCAGTCTTTGTCTCTGAGATGTGGCTTTCTGCCAGGCCTGAGGAGGATGTGATAGGAGGTGGGGCGAAGCTGGCATTTGGGATTGGTACTGAAAACTAGGTGCCCTGGTAAAGATCTTGACAAAAGCTGTGGGCTTGCTTTTGTTTATTTAACACTGGTTTCTAGTGGATCGATGCTAGTAGTATTTGATGTTATTTTTTGGAATAACGGTTAAGATGTTGAGATTGAGAGTCACAAAGACGTTTTCTAATTGTGGCTCTGGCACTCACAGGCTTTGCAGCCTTTGACAATTCTCTGACTCTCAGTTATCTTCTCTTTATTTGTTGTGAGATTATAGAATACACACAAGTGTATATAAAAGTGTGCAGGTACACTTTAAGGACAATGATAAATTGCAAACTTATTTCCCAGTATTACCCTGGATACATGTTACCCAGGCCAATAAGTAGACTATGAATGACTGTATATCCTAGAAGGCATGAAAAGTTACAACTTGTCATTCCTTTTACTATTGATGGACAGTAGTGTTATTTTTAGCTTTGTTGTAAATGTCTCCTGGTATACATGCACAAGAGTTTTTCTCTAGTTGGTATGTTTAGTAGGAATTAGGATTTCTCCATAGTAGAATATCAGAATGTTTAACTTTAGTGTAGAAACTTCCAAACTGTTTCCAAAAAGGTTGTACCATTTTACATGACCTATCAGCAGTGTAGGAGAGCAACATTTATATTTAGTGTAATAACATATTTGGATTTATGTTTTATTATTTTATTTTGTACTTTCTTCCATTTTTTTCTCCTTTCTTGTCTTCTTTTGAACTTACTACTTTCCCTTTCCCATTTTCTCTACTTAAATTGGAGATTAATGGTCTTGTTTCTATTTGTTCTGTGGTTACCTTATAAATTTCATCTTGCATGCTTATCAAAGTCTAAAATGGATCACTATCCTTACACTGCTGAACAATTCAAGGACCATAGAACTTGAATTCTAATCCTTCACCACCACCCCTCCACCAATTTATATGATATTATGAATTTTAGTTACTTACATAATCCCACAAATTGTCATCAGCAGTAGCATGGTTATTACTTTATACAATGTTTACCCACACTTTTACCACTTTTTTTGTTATTCCTCACCTCTTAATTTTACCATCTGGGATCACAGTTTGATAATGGCTAACCCCTGTTTTTGTTTTCTGAAAGTATATTTTATACTCATTCTTGAAAGTTATTGCTGGATGTAGAAGTTTATGTTCGGATTGAGTTATTTTTCTTTGAGCACATTAAAGATCATTCTGTGTTTGGTATTGAGAAGTCAGCTACCAGCCTGATTAGGATTTTTTTGAAGGTAATATTTCTTCTAGTGTATTTAAAATCATTTCTTAGTTTTTGTTATTGCACAAGTTCACTCTGTTGTATCTAGGTGTGGATTTCTTGTTAATTATCTTACTTGTGACAGTTTGGGTTCTTATCCGTGGATTGGTATTTTTTATCAATTCTCAAAAGTTCTCAGATATCCCTTTAGATATTGTCTTTGTCTCAGTTTCCCACTCCTGTCTTTCTAGAAGTCTGATTAAACAAATATTAAACTTTCTTATTCTGTCCTACATGTCTCTTAATCTCTTTTTTATATTTTCCATTTCTTTGCTCTCTAGACTTTTTTTCTGGACAATCTTTAGTTGTACCATTTCACCAATGCCCTCTTCAGTTCTATCTGATCTACTGTTCTTTCATTGATTTTTTAATTTTAGTTTTTAAATTTCTCATTTCTATGCATTATATTTGGTTCTTTTTCAAATGTACTTACTCTTGAATAAGTTTTGAAGTATCTTATGCTTATTGGTTTTATATTTTTTCCAATAATTCCAAAATCTTACATCTTTTGAGGGTATGAGTCATCCCCCCCCCACTGCTTCTCATTAATGGAGTCTTATTTCGTTTTGTGTTTAGAGATATCTCATGATGATCCGTCATTTTCTATGGATTTTTATCATCCATTAGGCCTTTAGAGCAGAAATCAGCCAACTATAGCCCATAGGCTAAGTCCCGCCCTCTGCCTGTTTTTGTAAATAAAATTTTATTGTAAGCCAGCCACACCTATTTATTTATACATTGTCCGTGTTTGCTTCTGCATTATAGCAGCAGAGTCCATTAGTGGCAACAGTGGCTGATTGGCCCACAAAGCTTGAAATATTTACTCTCTGGTCCTTCACCCAGAATAGTTTGCCTACCCCTGCTCTAGGGCATTAGCAATCTGGGACCACTTTAAACTAAATTACTGGCTGGAAGTTTATTGAACCATCATGTAAACAGTGAGAATTTAGCCTATAAACCCAAATGAGAACGATCTTGTGGTTTTGAAGTCTCTGCATAATGTTCTTGAGACTCATCCATATTGTGTTTATAAGCAGTTCATCCCTTTTAATTGGCAAGTCATTTTAAATCCTTCGGGGAAAATTATTTTTCCCTTTCACTTAGCACTAAGGGTTGACAACGAGCCTCGCTGGCGGGCGTCTGGGAGTGGGGGATGGGTGATTTCTCCTTTCTTCTTCCTTAAAAGATGTACCCCTTTGAGATCCGACCTTCAAGGGAAGGGTCACTAGTTGGAGACTAGAGATCTCACCTTGCGCAGGCATTCAATTTTCTCTATTGTTCCTTAGGCCCTTGATGCTCTGGAAACTGCTGCTCCAGTTTGGTTTAGCCAATGCCCTCAATGAGAAAGCCAACAGGTAGCCTCTGTGCTCTGTGGCTGTCTCTGGGTTAGCCTGTCTTCCCTTGGTCTTTGGCCTGAGTAGTCACAACCTTGCTAGTCTACGAAAGCATTCAAAATCATTTTCCCTTGTCATATAAAAAGAGGGTGGGCTATATGTTGGTAGACATAAAAACTTGAGAAAGCAACAACTCTAAATAAAAA